CAGATACCTATCTTTTCCTGCAGCATTGGCTGTTTTAGGTCCAAACAACTGCTCTCTGTATTTCAGGATTGTATCTACAAGAGCATGGAGTTCCTGATCAGTAAACCTAACCTTCCTCTTTTTAGAGTTTCCAAATGGTCAGTCCGCCCCTGGGTATGAACATAGAGGTGTTTTCATAGGTAAATTTCCAGTGATGTACATAGCTTCCTCACTCTACAGTCTCTTGATAACCACTAAACAGCAGGAAATGGAGGGTGGAAGCAACCAACTAGTCAGAAACAGCAGAGGTGTGTGGATGATACCAAATAGAATTATAACATAACATGTAATAACAACTGCTAATCAGTAAAGCTGCGTGGCAGCACAGGCATTCATTCCTAAAACAAGGCTGCATGGCAGCCCCAAGTGATCATATGGATCATATGGAGCCCTTTGATAATGTGCTCGTCCGCACGAAACGCGTCAGCGTGGAGCCTAGCCGGTGATGTCACGCCGCCCCGCACCTCGTGGAGGCCGGCGGCCATCTTTGTTTCTGGCTACCCTATGTGAGTGTACTGCATTATGTCCAAATAAAAATCTCTGAACATACTACACTATCAGTGTTTTTTTGGGGTGGGCTGTATGGTTGAGCCCCCCCTTTTCAAGGTGGATATCTATTTTGAGTGCCCTGCTCTGAGGAGTCCTGACTAGCTGTATGACAACCATTGCTGGATGCCTGGTGCCCCCCTGCTGGTTAGAGGAAGGAGCATCATCAGAGTGACAGCCTGCTAGATTACCCACATTGCCTCAGCCTTCTAGTACCAGGAGTGGTCTGACAACTCAAATGCGCATATTATGCGCTTTCTGGTGAGTGCATAAAGTTTACCCACCTATGTGCACGGAGTCAACAGCATTTGCACCTATTACTGGGACGATTGATATATCACCTGAGGGCGTTATTTTCACTTTAAGCACTTTAGCCATCACCTATTTTAATTTTAATTTTATTAGACACATGATGTATATATGAGTCATTGTTTTATCCTTTTTTAGCGCTGCATATGTTTTTATTATGTAATAACAACTGATAATCAGTAAAGCTGCGTGGCAGCACAGGCATATATTCCTAAAACAAGGCTGCATGGCAACCCAAAGTGATCATATGGATCCATACATGCAGTGTTTGTGATCCCTGAACCTATCTACTGTAGCTGATCATACACTGATCAGCTACTGTAGCTGATCACACACTGATGTCCAATGCGTATGATACAGGCCTAGATTTTATTTTGTGTTTCTGTGTTACACTGTCTCACCTTGCTCTGCATATACTCAGTTGCTCTCTATTTTTTGGCACTTCCCAGAAAATCTGGAGGCCAATCTGCTGACAGCCTAAAGATTTACAGCTGCTAAAGACTCTGGACTTTGGCAAAATGGCAGCTTCCAGTAAGAAGAAACAGGAGCAAAGCTGGGGGCAATTTACAGCACACACTCATTTTAGTAGCCTAATTATTAATGTGGAATGCATGTTTCTTGCTAAAGAATATTATTTTCTATAAAGTTGTTATGAGTAAAGTTCTGCTTTAAAGAAATGCCCGCAGCGATAAAAGAAGAAAAGAATTAGCGAAGGGCAGGCATGACTAGGCCCAGAGTGGGAAGGAAGATGTGTGAGGGTTAATGATTGTTTAGAGTTGGTAAAGGATAGCTGGGGGATCTGGTTGGTAGAGGAGAGTGTAGGAGGGGTCTCCTGCACTTTAGGGTGGGGTGTTCTGGGGAGGGGCGTCAGTTGGGAGCTGGACGTGGGAGAGAGAGCTTCCCTCCCCGCCTGCCCTGTTTGGTGAATGTTGTGTTCCTCCTGGGGGGGGGGTTAATTTGGTTCCTGGGCGGTGGTTGGTCTTTGGAGGCGGTTCTTATCTTGGAGGTACAAAATGGTGTGGGACCCATCGTTGGTATGGTGTGCCCGGGAACATTCCCAGTTAACCGAGGTTTAACTGGAAGGTGGTGGTGCTGCACTGCGGATGGTATGGTTGTCTCCGAGCTGGTTGGTTGCGGCTGGAGGCCTAATGGAATATGGTTGTCCTCAGGTGCATTTCGGATCGTTTTGGGGGTGCCTTCAAAGACCAATGACAACTCTTTATGTTTTCTGTTATAAGGAATGGTTGATGTGTTTAAACTTGATTTGTTAATAAAAGGCCGTGCTGGCCATTTTACTCCAAAATTGGTGTTGTGTTTTTCTGTAAGTATAGTAAGTAAAGGGGATTGGTATGGAAGGGTAAAGGGTGGTGTAGTGGGGTCTGGATGAACCTATCTCGGGTGCACTAGTCATGCATAGGTGTGAAAAGGCAATGTACATAGGCCGACCAGTAGTGGAAGGTTACAGCCCTTGAATACGGATTGACAGGGGTATCTCTTCAACACAGGCAAGACCTACATTACCAGGGCGCCATCTGCTGGAGGGGTGGCTGTCTGGCGGGGTACTGACACAGGTAGTGACACTGGCTTGCACAATCGGACGGATCGTGACATCGTCACATGCCTGATGAAAGGTTATGAAACATCGCTGCTGTATTTATGATATGATTGCTGAATAAAGCTTTTGACCCACTTTGAATGTCTTTCATCCCAGCCGGTGGTCGCTGCAGTACCCACTTACATTCACAGCCATTTTTCAGGAAAATGTGCATTGGGAATATTGGAGATTATTTACTAAAACTGGAGAGTGCAAAATCTGGTGCAGCTCTGCAAATAAACCAATCAGCTTCCAGGTTTTATTGCCAAAGCTTAAAGTGGAGCTCCAGTTTCCCCAAAAAATTTAATTCAGCAGCTACAAATACTGTAGCTGCTGACTTTTATTATAAGGCCACATACCTGTCCAGTGGACCAGCAATGTCTTAACCTGAGACCATTCTTCAATCGGCTTTGGGTGAAGGTGCCAGCATCCTAAGTAAGGGAAACCAGAAGTGAAGCCTTGTTTCATAGCCGGTTTCCTACTGCGCATGCGCAAAGCATGCTGCACTTTGTGAATGGGCTGCAGTCTTCTGGGACCTGTGAAGTGTCCTCAGAAGGCTGTGGGTGTTAGAAGGGGGGGGAACCTCTGCCTCAGATCGTCACATCAATCTGACCCGGAAGTGTCAAAACCAAGTACTCAATCCCCCCCTCAAAGTGCCAAATATGGCAGTGGTGGGGGGAGGCAGACAAGCAGAATGTCCCCTTTTGGGTGGAGTTCCACTTTAATTGAACAAGCTGAAGTTAGAAGCTGATTGGCTACCACGCACAGCTGCACCAGATTCTGAGCGCTCTAGTTTTAGTAAATCTACCCCCAGTGTGTTTTGATTTGTGACTTATGGGGAATATATTTAAATGAAAGTTGTCTGGAGTTCAGCTTTAAGAGCTAACAGCCAGAGATGATATTTTATTCATAGCTGGACACTAGATTGTTGAATCATTTACTGGCTTTTTGTATCTCTTCGTGACCCAATTGCAGAATTTCCAAACGGAAGGTTATTTTACCGTTTTCTCCACCTCCTCAATCATTAGTGCAGAGAAGGACTTCTCCCCCCTTCCCTTTCTCGCCATAATGATCAGCAGCTTGGCTTATCGGGAATTTCCAAGTAACCACTGAAAAATAAAACAACTAACTTTTGGTTCAGCCCACTGAAACCCAGCCAATAAAGAAATGCCAGGCTTGCTAGACAAACACACGTATGCCATTTCAGAAGTTGAATGAGCGCGTGAGTCAATCTGGTGAGGTCATCAAATGAAACGAGAACTGCTGGCATAACATTAGTTATCGATATTAGTGTGATGCAACAGCATCTCAATTCTTGGACTTCTGTGTAGTAAGTATTGTTTTCAATCTGTTCTTTTTTATTTCTAGTTTGATCTAGTTCTGCTAAATAATACAATTATGCAATATTGTTCTCAAGATCCTTTAAATAATCGCAGATGAGCTTGTCATTGTCAAAGGCACAAATGTTCTACTTGTACATAAAGCAGCATTTATACAGTAAGGGATACAATTCCTCCAAGGCCACTTTCACAGGAAGAGTCCAATTAGGTCCACCTGTCAGTTTTTCAGACAGACCTGATCGGACCCTCCATTCACCCCTATGGATTGGCAGGTGTAAACAGACTTGTGTCCATTTACATGCACCTACCTCCAATTCGGTCTGGTCCGCTAAAGAAAAAAAATAGAAAGGGTATCCGTCCTCCTCCGTTTAGGTGGATCGGATCAGAGTGGGCATAAACTGAGTGGACATGGACCTGTCATCCACCCACTGTGCTCTGATCAGTAAGGGAACAGTGGACAGATCTCCTTCTAATCTAAACAGAGCCCGTCCCATGTGAAAGGGGGCTTAGTTTTATTACATGTGAGCAGTCCCAGTGCCCTGGGTATTATTGAGGCACTACAGCTGTGAATTCTTCCCTTCGGCACACTTTTCCTTGCTCACTACATCAGTGAGTGTGACCTGATGGAAGATGTGCACAACAAATAAAAGATGCTCTTTGCCCATGCATGACTAGTGGGTGTACTAAAGCTGGCCATACACTAGTAGAATGTCATACGAAAATGTTCATTTTCATAATATTTGTTAAATTTTCTAATGGATATTGGGGTTAAATTGGCATTCAGGTATATCTGAGATCGAAAACAACCAGAGGCAGTCCCATAGAAGTCTATGGGGCTGCAATGCTCTGGAAGGTGAAGACTTGTGGTGCTCAATGTAAACAAACAACGGAATCGCGGTTATCAAATCTAGGCAAGTAAGCATCTGAGGACGGGTGGGTAAGTTAGATTAGGTCCTGAGGAGGTATAAAGAATAACTGTTTTAAAGAGCACTGATCTTTAAACCTCTCTGTGTCCTTTGAGCTAAATAAAAGCTCTGGTCCAGAGTGATGGCTAGGGAGCCAACCTTCGGTCTCCCTGGCCAGGTTCCCCAGCCTTAAAAAGACCTGGATTCTCTGTTATTCCTGGGATAATTGATGGAACCATCTGAGACAAGGTATCCTTTTAAATAGGAAATTCCTGTTTAAAGAGTAGGTGTGCAAACACAATCTGTGAGTCTCAACGGACAGACTTGAGCAAATAGTTCAAGTCCTCAGTTTGTTTATATTGTATGTTGGACCAGGGGCGGACTGACAACTCATGGGGGCCCCCGGGCAATAGGGGATCATGGGGCCCCTGTGTCCTTGCCCAAACTCAAAAAAGCCTATGAAAAAGGTACCAGGGGCATCTCATGGGGCCCCCTACTGACCCCGGGTCCTCGGGCAGTGCCCGAGTTTCCAAATGGACATACCGCTTCATGTACAGTATATTTATTTTTGTAAAGGATGCCAGGAGGATGTGCCCTGGATGGGAGGTATGTGTCCTCAATAATTGGGTTGTCGTTCATTTAAGAGACATTTTTGTTTTTGGGGTTTTCTCACCTGTGCAGGGTGAAGGGTACTGTTGCAGTCCAGTTGGAAAGGAACCTGGAATTTGGATGCTTCCAGAGACTTTGGGGTGGGAAACAGCCTTCAAATCCTGATTTCAGGGACTTTGGTCCCAAAAAGGCTAACCTGCCTGCAAAGAAAGGTTGAAAAGGAGCAGAAAGGAGACAGTAAGGTTTATTTACTAAAGCTGGAGAGTCCAAAATCAGACTCCCTTCTGCATAGAAACCAATCAGCTTCCAGGTTTCATTGCCAAAGCTTCATTGAACAAGCTGAGGTTAGAACAGCAATGGGCAAACTACGGCCCGCGGGCCGTATACGGCCCGGCGGACCTTTTAATCTGGCCCGTGGAGCGTGATACATTGGCTGTCAGGATGTGTGTAGGCGGGGCAGCGTGACGAACATGAGGGGAGATAGGCTCCTCTCACAGTCCGCCCTGAAGACCGGAATGGCGCGGGAACACGGCGAGAGGAACGCGCGGAGCAAAGGTAAGTGAATTGACACAGGGGGGACTTGGGCTTACTACTTGGGGGGGAATAGTACTGTGGGGGATGAAATACTATATGAGGGATGAATTAATATGGGGGATGAATTAATATGGGGAATGAATTACTATAGGGGGGATGAATTACTATAGGGGGGATGAATTACTATATGGGGGATGAATTACTAAATGGGGGATGAATTACTATATGGGGGATGAATTACTATGGGGGATGAATTACTATATGGGGGATGAATTACTATGGGGGATGAATTACTATATGGGGGATGAATTACTATGGGGGATGAATTACTATATGGGGGATGAATTACTATGGGGGGGATGAATTACTGTATGGGGGATGAATTACTATATGGGGATGAATTACTATGGGGGATGAATTACTATGGGGGATGAATTACTATATGGGGATGAATTACTATGGGGGATGAATTACTATATGGGGGATGAATTACTATGGGGATGAATTACTATGGGGGATGAATTACTATATGGGGGATGAATTACTATGGGGGATGAATTACTATGGGGGATGAATTACTATATGGGGGATGAAATTACTATGGGGGATGAATTACTATATGGGGGGATGAATTACTATGGGGGATGAATTACTATATGGGGGATGAATTACTATATGGGGGATGAATTACAATATGTGGGATGAATTACTATGGGGGATGAATTACTATATGGGGGGATGAATTACTATGGGGGATGAATTACTATATGGTGGATGAATTACTATATGGGGGATTAATTACTATGCTTACTATGGGGGAATATTACTATACTTACTATGGATGACACATACACATCATTCATCTACTCTTGGTCCGGCCCCCGGGTCCAATATATGAACCCATTGCGGCCTTCAAGTCAAAAAGTTTGCCCACCCTGGGTTAGAAGCTGATTGGTTTCTATGCAGAAGGGAGTCTGATTTTGGACTCTCCAGCTTTAGTAAATAAACCCCTAACTGTCTGTGAAGAGGAGTGGAATGGTTCATAGCTGTGTGAAAGTGTGGATTGTCTGAAGACTGAGACACTTGTTTGCTGAACTCTTTTAGCATTGGTGGAAGTAAAAAGCAGGTGTTCACCCTAAAAACCCTGATGTGGGACTGGTATATTGGCAGTGAGCTGCTGGGTTTTTTCGGTACACCAGAATAATGGGCTTTTTGAGTTTACTTTTACTAAAGAAAGATGTTTTGTTGCTTGATTTTGAAAACATTAAAGACTGTTTTACTTTTACAAGCGGACTGCTGGTGATAACCGACTTCCTATAGTACAATATACAGTATTTAATGACAGGAAATCGTAATGGCTCATCCTTGCTCCCAGCTCCCTCCTCACAGTATTTGATTGACAGCCACGAGAGCCAATAACTTCTGCTGCTGCCTCTGAGTCCTGTAAGAAGAGAGAGAGCAGTGCTGTTGCAGATGGGCACAGTGCTGGGCCAAGATAGCACTCAATTTGTGGCATTAGTACAGCTCTAAGTGGCTGCAATTCTCTCTTTAGGTGGCTGGTCTGGGGGGGAGCCTTAAAACCACAACTCAACCACCTGCTTTTAGTGCTCCTCTGGCTGTTCTTAACCCTACTGTATCATGTCAATCCCAATGCCCCTATTGTCATGTCAATCCAAATGTCCATAAATAATGTCCAGCTGTTTTAATGGAGATGGTGGGTTGATGGAAAATGACAGACTCCGCGCACAGGCAATACAAAGTGTTTTTTATTACGCATTGCTGGTGTGAGTGCACAAACCATTTACCATTCCAGTGTCTCATCTTCCGTAAACGGGAAGGGTATGTTTCTCTTTTTCAATTCCAAAGTCATAGCCTTGTTTTTCAAATTCAGATGCAATATTTCTATTTTATGCATGCAACCCTTTCTAGGAATAGGTTAAACCCCAAAACAATCAAAGCGCCTAAATGATTAGGGGGACCTGATATATGAAGCTTCAACCCAAAGGTCCACCTCTGTGAATTTCCTCTGTTGATCTCATCTTCTAAATCAAAGGTAGTGGATAGATGAACTGTGATCTTGTAGATCTTCACAGTAGGGCAGGTCTTCTGTATAAGCTTCAACAAATACTTTGAATGAAGTTTGACCAGTTTTATTATACTAGCAATTTAAATACAAACATATCTTTTTTTTTTTTTTTGGTTAACGGTAAGCATTTTAGAAACAGATCTCCCAAACCAGGGGTGGACTGACAACTCATGGGGCCCCCGGGCAATAGGGGATCATGGGGCCCCTGTGTCCTTGCCCAAACTCAAAAAAGCCTATGAAAAAGGTATCAGGGGCATCTCATGGGGCCCCCTACTGACCCCGGGCCCTCAGGCAGTGCCTGAGTTTCCAAATGGTCAGTCCGCCCCTGAGGGAAATAGAGGCAGGGGGGGACTGACCATTTGGAAACTTGGGCACTGCCCGAGGGCCCGGGGTCAGTAGGGGCCCCATGAGATGCCTCTGGTACCTTTTTCATAGGCTTATTTGAGTTTTGGCAAGGACACAGGGGCCCCATGATCCCCTATTGCCCGGGGGCCCCATGAGTTGTCAGTCTGCCCCTGGATAGAGGACATGGTGCCAACCAGTTGATAGGAGGAGAAGACAGAGAGTGACAGAGATGAAGTCTGCCGCTTCTCATTTAATTATCGAGTCACAGGCTAGGTGTGGGGGCTGAAGGGGCTTTGCTATGGGACAGAGCTATGTAAATCTCAGGGCTGGATGGACAGAAATGCAAATCCTTTGGAAAGTAAAAACAACTACCTTATATGCATTTCATCTGTGTTTTTTTATCTGTTTGCCAGGAATTCATCGTTGATATTCAAACTCTGTATACAAAAAGCTATATTTTGGAGAGAAAACGAAAGGACAAAATACATTAGTATCCCAAGAAAACTATACAAACAGTTGCACATAAAAAAAAAAAAAAAAAAAAAAAAAAAAAAAAAAAAAAAAAAAAAAAACCACAAAAACAAAAGAAAAAATTCCTGGAAAAAAAGGTTTGTTTTGGGAAAATACATTGCTGTTTGTCATTTAAACTGGTTTATTTTCACTGTCTGTGCACTGAAAACCTATTTTTGGAGAAATTAGAGCCCCCTTATGTGCAAAAATATCTTGCTTGTTTGATTAAAATAGTTGCATGGTCCCAATCTGTAGAAGAGCTGATACTCTACTTCCATTGCCAGGTTAATCAAACTGTATTGCTTGAAGAAATAAAAAATAATTTACATCCTGCCATTTGTCTGCTCTCACCCGCGTGTTGCTCCTGGTAATTATGATGGGCAACTTTGTTCACAAATAGGAATGTGTGTGAGATTGATGGGGCAAGTTTCAAGATTACCAGAGCTTGGAGCTGGAGCTTGTTCCAGAGAAGGAGAGGGAGAGTTGCTGTGTACATATACTACCTGCTGGCATCTCGTATTATAAACAGAACTAAATTCTCTCAATCAACATTATCTATTTTTAATCCTTATGCTGCTAGCAATACTAAATAGATAGGAAGGTATATTATATATTCTTGTTTTACCCTTTTTATTTTTAATTTGTTCAGTTGCTTCCTGGTTTCTGGCCTAGGCCAAAATGATGTCACACATCCCAGTCTTCATGAGCATTTTTTTCATCTGGAGGAGGAAAGGAAGGGCTTTCTCAGATAAGCACATCCTCCTGCCTGCATGCCTGAGCTAAGGGCAGATGGATTCCAGAAGTAAATGCTGCATGAATTATATGCCCTTACTCAAGATGGCTGTGGCTTAAAATGCTAGGAGGGCAGGGTTCAAAATTATTTCTCAACAAAATAAACCATGGAGACATGGATGGATGGGTTGGGAAGTTTGCTGTGAATATTAAAAAAATAATTCAATTGTGTTTTCAGTTTGTGTTGCTCAGACATGGTTTATTTCCACTTTAACAAGTAAAAGCAATAGAGTTTGTGATTCGAAGTCACTGCTGGGAAGTTGAAGCAGTGTCAGCATAGTTGTTTTTGACTTAAGCTGAACCACAAGTTAGTATAAATGGCCACAATGTGGTGTGGCAAAAACTAGACCACAGGTCATGTTTGGCAAGCAGTACTGCCACTTATGCAAATGAAAGAAACACAACTGCCTTTCAAATGCACTTCACGCCATTTTCAGTGGGCTTTCAATGATTGAATCTGGCATCCAAGAGGGGACATATTACCTCTGAGCGGCCTATCAAATGTTTAGCCATTCT